GCTTGACAAACATTTTTACGAACTTCAGAGTTTTGATCAGTAGCTCGTTTGAAAAGTGCTGCAACGAACGGATCAATATTGACAAAAAGAGATTCTGAACGCATAAGAATAAATTGATTTACACTGGAAATAGCATAGATGCGAAGCTTGACATGTGGTGAATCAAAGAATGTAATCATTTTAGGAATCATATAATTAAGTGGTCTAGTTCCTTCGATCTCCTGATCAAGATCACGAGCAGAATCTTCGCATATTTTTTGAAGCGCTCCAAAAGCACCCTATAAGGTATTATGTTTTTTTAAAGTATTTATAAAAATATATGTTATTGTCATTATTATATAATAACAATGATAAATTATGTAAGAATATTAACCTCAACAGTATTGTAATCTTGTGAATCTAATAATTCCATCAAATTAACCAATATTTGAGGCCATTCTGTTAATCCTCCTCTTGTCACAATTGTTGTTATAACATTTCCAACGATGCCGCGTACCATAATATCTGGATCACCTATACCTTTAATTAAGAAACTCTTCACGTATGCCAATACCTCTCGTGGAATGTTTGCAAAATACATCCGGACGGTATTTTTCAAGAGAAGGCCTGCTACTGCCCTTATAGAAGCATCTTCTTGTATCAATTGTATCAGAATGTATACTAAATAGTTGGGATAGTCTGGTATTTTGTTGAATGAATCTAATTTCTGTGAAGATTTTTTTTTATAAAAAAATTATGGTTAAGAATAATAATATGTTTTATAGAAAAATTTAAACCTTTGTTTTCTTGCGACCATATGATCTAAAAGCAATAAATGATGAAAATTTTTATTTTTAAATTAAAATAAATTTATATTGATCTAAATATATAAATATGACTTTTAATAGAGTCAAATCAATGGTTTGTTGGATTGTGATGGTAATTATTACAAGGAGAAATTTAAAATGCCTAAATGAATGAATGAATAAATTTTAATTGAAAAAGGATACTTGTTGTATCATTGAATGAACTTCATTATTGGGTGAGACAGATTCTTTAATAAGCTGTAATAGTTGTGAAAGACCTTCTTCTGTAGGTGTCCAATCCATGATGAAATTTTGTGGTAAATCTGTCGAATGCAAGAATTACAATTAAAGATGTTTGGTTTTTGATAAGACAAGTTGCAGAATTTACAAGTGATGTCTAATGAAAGGCACGTACTTGTGTTTAAATCAATGTAAGTGAAAGGCTAAGGAGACGAAAATCTTTGAAAAAAAATAATTTTTTTTTAAATCCGTTAGCATAACAGTTGGTTAAGTGCAAGACTTATGTAAAGAGGGAGGTATATTAAATCAAGGGTCAAAATGATTGGATAATAATCATCTATTACTATGTTTGGCATCTGTATTACTTGACTGCGCTCATTAAAAAAATTTTTTCAGATTTGAGAATTCCTAAAACTACTCCTTTGTATTTTGTATATATATAGAATTATTAAGAAAAGTAGAGAAATGATTGTACACATGTAAACTCGATAAGTCGATTTTGGCCTAAACTCGGCCAAAAATTTTCTTTTTTTAATATTGATAAGTTGGTCCATTATATAAAGCCGCGATAAGCACCAAATCAGTCACACTAAGGACCCCCAATTATTATAATGGTAATAGTAACATCCAGTTAAATTTCCAAAATATTATTGGCCAATTGGGACATATAGACTACACATTTAGCAGACCTCAATTAAAAATCTCGGTTTTATAGATAAAGTTCAAAGAACGGTTCATAATAAGCCTTAATAAAAACCTTCTTGATATAGTGGATATCTCGGTTTAACAGATTTTTGGAAAAATTTTCCCTAATTGCCCAAACTATCTGCTAAATTGAGATTCACTGTGTATATAATTTATCAACAACATCACATGGAATTACATATCTACCTTTTATGGTAAGATTTTCCACCAAAAGTCAGCTATAGTTTTGGAATTTTCAGCATTCACATACAGCCTAAGCTCTCTATACTGAACCTATAATGAATATTAAGTAAAATCTCTCTATAACAAACTTAACTTTTGTCTCCAATTCCATTTTTTATAGTTAATTTCTCTCTATAACAAA